GTCCGTGTTAAAACATATTTTAAAAAATTTACAAAACTAAACAGCCTACAGAATATTTACAGTCTTTATTTTAAATGTTTGTCAAATAAAGTCTAATGTTACAACTAATCATGGATCCCTTTAACACTTTTTGGATTTTCCAATGGATGTTGGCCATCTTGAAAAGGATTGGCTCCAACAGGTAATCAGTTTAAATTTATATCCAATGAATATTTCATTCAAATCCATCCAATGGTTCATGAAAAAACTGATCACAGAGTTGACTCTAAATAGTTATTGGCAAAATTCCTAAGAAATCTTGAATATTTTGTTAGCACTGGTGATCAGTCTTGGCTACAACCGCACCAAAGTTTAGGTCAACATCTGTAGGATTATCTGAGTCATTTTTGTGTTGTTAGAAGTTGGTTGGCTATGGCAGCTATCTTGAATCAGAATGTCTAAAAGGTAATCAGTTTCAGTAAATTTCGTCAGCTTTGCCTTTTGGCGGCAGGCAATAACTGTATTCAGTAAAAAGAGCCACAGAACTGTCCAACAAAGTAACAAACAGCTCCACGTTTTTGAAGTTTATATTCTGGTGTGCCCTACTTCCTGTGTTTATCTCGTCTTCCACAGCTTGTAAAGGTGAAACAAAAGGCACAGACTAGCTTTAAAACCTTTCAATCACTGCCATCTCTTACTTATCTGCAGCCCAGATGCTTTTAAACCATCTGTGGTGTTAAAACAATGTTTAACTCTATAAGCCTCCCCGTATTAACCACGATACAACGGCAGAGAGACTCTGACACAAGACTGAGTGTGCACTTATGGGCAGCTTCCTTTAATCTCTTGCTGATATAAAGTGCCAGGGAGAAGGAGTTCAAGCTTCTCAGCTTTCCCTTTGACAAGTGCCGTATAAAGTCTATGGGCAAGCGGCCCTCTGGAGTCCAGCATCAAAGTGCATCCCAGAACTCTTATTTTGTATTATAGATTCATCTTTTCTTCAAAAATTCCCTAAGATCACTGTTGTTTGTCAGTCCCACATGTATTAAAATATTCAGCGCATTGAAAGGCACAATGTCTGTGCCACTTTTCAACTGCTTCTGTGTCATGTTTTCATTCCTTTCTGCACAACAACCTCACATTTCCTGGATTAACATTTTAATAATCCAACCATTGGAGGCATGTGATTATGCCAAGAGGATGGGAATAAAATGTAAATAGCATTCCATGCAAATTAACATTGCAGTAGTTACTGTTGGAGTTTGGCAAGCAAATACCAGAAACATGTCTAGAAAGTAAGATGGTTTAATTCAGTTTTCTCTTATTTTTCAAATCTTCTCTCGTTTTGAGTAAAATAAACTTCCTACAGATCTGAGAGTAGGTGTTCAAAAAGGAAGGCTTTTCTCAAAGAAATTCACTAAAACAGTGCCTTATTGTCTTGAACACTGACACACAAAAAGGAGGAGCCAAATAAGGGTCAAAAATACATTAAAATATTTGCAAGGGTTAGGGATTGTTGTGTATCAACCACAAATGTTTCATACATAAGACGGCTCAGTCCAGGAGTGATGTGTTCTGTCCTCCTCCGAGCATTTAGAAAAAACACAAAAGCAGAAAGGCGAGTAAAGTGAGCCTGCCTCTGATGCCKCTCTGAGCCCCCAAACGAGGTAGTATCAGAGCRGGGCCCAAGGTAGACTGACTGACTTGTGATAAAGCAACCCACAGTTCAGCACTCAGAAAATGATAATGAGCTGATGACATCAGTGAGTGACTGCAGGATTAATCAACAAACAGATGTCTTACAGAGAGAGTATTAAAGATGACACAAAACAACAACGTGGTAGCTAGTTCAAAAAATACTGAACCACAGGATCACTAAAGTTTATTTTGTTTGTTTAGTTTGATAAGAGGCAGACACCTGTTGCAGTCCACTTCAGCCCAGCTGAGATCTGCTCCCCGCCTCTTTGGGTTCGACGCTGCTGGGTTCATTTCTGTACGCGTACAAGTGAGTGAGACCTGGCCAGCTTCTCCTGTGATTTTATGAATGACCAGAGGAAGCTTAAAGCCGGACTGGTCTGTGCTGCAATTTCACGGAGCTGTCTTGTGAAAGACACTAAAGCATCAAAATAGCATCATTCCATGTCAGTGTGAATTTCAGAAACAAAATTGTTAGTTTTTTATTTTATTCATCCACTACTTTCTCCATCTTTCTMMAAAGCAAAACTATTGCAGACTTGCTTTCAAGCAGCCAAGCGTACTCTTTGGTGTGGTTCAAGGATGTACATGAGGATGTCTTTCACTCTTGTTTGAGTGAGGCTCAAYCACCAAATCAGCATAAAACAGCCAATTACTGCAGGTTTGTTTTTGTCTGCTCTAAAAAAGCAGTTCTGAAAAGGTTTTGTTGAATTTTCACCCTGTGTCAGCAGACAAATACAACCGATGGAAGTTAGCTGAATTTCTCTTTCTAGAGTTAATAAAGTCAGCCAGGTTAAATACATATATTCTAACAAGTTGTTTCTTATTCTTGCTTATTTTACTTAAAAGCAGTGTCACAGTTTTAGGAGGATTCAAACCCAGAACACAAACAAGATATTGTAAGCTTTGGAATTATTATTATTATTATTATTATTATTATTATTATTATTA